GGGGGTCTCGAGAGTTCGTTCAACTTTTTTTTTTCGCTGCGGGTGCATTTTTTGGGACTGATGGAGGACTTCGTGGAAGGCGTGATTCTTCTAATGGGGTTTGAGAGGGGTGGGGGTGAATTCTTTGGAAAGCTGACCAAATTTTTTTTTTTTTTGAGAAAAAAAAAGTATTTTATGGAATGGAATTTTTCGCGATTTTTGAGGAAGATTTTTTTTTTCAAAATCGATTTTTGGCGGAGGTTTTGCGATTTACGGGGCAAAATGAGTGCATAACCAGAGGATTTTTTTTAAAAGCTGAGAAAATTTTAATTTTTTTTTGAGAAAAAAATGTTTTTCTTTGGAATGGAATTTTTCGTGATTTTTGAAAAAGATTTTCTTGAAAAAAAAATAACCCCTCAGTTTTTAGGGGGTTTTAGGGAATTGCGGGGCAAAATGGATCCATAACCAGAGGATTTTTTGAAAAGCTCATTTACATTTAAAAGGGCGTTTACAATTATTTTGGGAAAAAAGTATTTTTTGGATGGGAATTTCTCGCGATTTTTAAGGAATAATTTTTTTTTCTAAACGGTTTTTGGAAGGGGTTTAGAAAATTGCAGGGCCAAATGGGTCCATAATCAGACAATATTTGAACAGCTGCGGAAATTGAAGATTATTTTGAGAAAAAAAATTTTTAATGGGAATTTCTCGCGATTTGTGCGGAAGATTTTTTTGAAAAATTTGATTCTTGAGGGTGTTTAGGGAATTACAGGGCAAAATAGGTTCATGATCGGAAAATTTCATCGGAAATTGTCCAAGCTTTCCTATGAGAGTGATTTTATTTGGTTGGTTATTGGAATTTTTGAGATATCGCAGAGGACGAAAAAATTCAATATTTTGGATTCTACGAAAAGTGAGAAATTTATAATTTTTAGGTACTCACCTCTCAATATTTGGTACAGGAAGACCTTGATGTGGTCGGGACTCAGTGGCTGAGGGCTCACGATGATCTTGTGCAGGTCGCTCTGTAGTAGTTCTGTTATCACGTATCTGATACCAAAAGTAGTCAAGAAAAATCTTCTTCCAAAATCATCGCGAAAATGTTTGAAAGTGCAACTTAAACCGCAAAATGGTCAAATATTTACATGCTCTCAGAGAGTTCAACTTCCAGTGTAGATCCAAGTGTAAAATCATGCCCACAAAAACGTGAAAACGTGCGTACATGGTTACATATATTACGTTCGGAATGAGGTCGACGCGGGTAGAGTACGGAATGCGGGTACCGAGAGAAGGTAGAAGTTGCCAGGAGGTCCGCGCTAAGTGACCAGTAAACTCATCTGGTCGATCAACACCTGAAAACCCAGGTAATTCCGCCCCAGACTCCTCCCAAACGAATTATAACATTGAAATTCAAATTTCCCGCCCTCGGCACCAAGTGCATCTCACAGCCGGCGGAATTTCCGGTTCAAAACACTGGTCATGAACCCATTTCGCCCCATCAGATCTCCCGTAACTCAGAAAACGAAAAATTCTAACCTAAATGTTTTTCTTTCTGTGTCTTGGCCATTCGGTGGGCAAAACGGGTTCATGACCAGTGTTTTGAACCGGAAATGTTCCTGGCATTCTAATGAGCCCTAATTCGCCCTTCAACTCTCCCAACATCCCTCCCAAATTCTTAATTTTCCAAAAGTTGTCTGTGAAGACTTCAGACGAAAACCGATTACTGATCGTGTTGATCGATTTTGTGATCGAAATTGATAGTCAGCTGAAAAAAGCAGTTCCATGTCTTCAGATACCTGTAAAGACTTCAATTACCCCATAAAAAGCATGAATAATCGTTCAAAAGCTTCGATAACTGAAATTAAACAAAAAAACTGATTGAAATCGCAAAATAATTGATTAAAATCCTGTCGCAAAAAAATAGGTGGCAGGCTAATGCTCTTTGTTTCTTCATTCCCGTATCGAGTATAAGAAGAAGAAGAAGAAGGTCGAGAATCCGCAAGGCCAGTATACAGGCTCGTCCAAACCAGTCAACCATGCCTGAAACTGGCGTTTTCCTTCTTCTTTCCTTCCCTTTAACTCCTCAAGTCCTCTTCCTCAAGAACAAGGAATTTCTTGACTCACGTTCAACAGAGAGGTTAAGAGGGAAGACAAAGAGGATGAGGATGAGGGCGAGAGAGAGAGAGAGGATGAGACGAGAGAGGAGAGAGGAAGGGGGAGGGAATTTTTGTTGAGGGACAAATGATTACGAATTTTCCTTCTATCGTGGGAGGGTGTTTGCCACGCGTATACGTGAGAACCTACGGCTTTCCCACAGTGCTGGGGGGTGGTAGGGGGTGCACAGGGGTCGATCGATACCTCCAACGGCTTGTGTGTGACGTTGTTGAGGAGTCCTTTTGGGTTGGAGACGAGAAATTATGATGAGGATCGATCCTCGTTGGTTTGGATTTTGGGGAGGATTCAAAGTTTTCGGGGTTGAAGCAGGGGAGGGAGATAATTGAGGGAGAGGAACAGGGGTTTGTAGGGAATTTTGTCGGCTTTCGAATGAGATGTGAGTTGAAGAGATCGGTTCAGGAGTTTAGGAGATATTTCGAAAAATGTGGAGAAGGTTTTTTTGGTCACGATTGAATTTTTAGAAGGATTTGGGATCGTTGGTCGTCTAAGGTGGGGGTAGCAGGAAGTGGAGAGTGTGGGCAGTGATTTTGTGAGGAATTTTATAAACTTTTGAATGAGAGGTGAGCTGAGGAGATCGATCGAGTAGTTTTGAAGATATTGCGAAAAATGTGGAGAAGGTTTTTTTAGTCACGATTGTATTTTTAGAAGGATTCCGATTTGTATGGCGTCTAAGGTAGGGGCAGAAGGAAGTGGAGAGTGTGGGAAGGGATTTTGTGGGGAGTGGTATAAGCTTTTGAATGAGAGGTGAATTAAGGAGATCGATCGCATAGTTTCAGAGATATTTCTAAAAATGTGAAGATGTTTTTTTTGGTCAGGATTGAAGTTGTTTTGGGTTTCAGGGAGGATTGAAAGGTTTGTGGTATCCAAGCCGGGAGTGAGCGGAAGTTGACGGGGAGGAGAGGGATTTTGTGGGGAATCTTGTGAGCTTTTGAGTGGGGGTGAGTGGAGGAGATCAATCCAGTAGTTTTGGAAATACATTTAAAAATGTGGAAATTAATTTTTTTCGGAAGTTGAGACTTAATTTCGCGTTTGAAAAGGATACATTTCTTGGAAGAAGTCGAGGTGTGGTGGCTGCAGGATGTCCAGTGCTGAGAGAACCTGGAATAAACTCCAAACAATAACAAAAATCCATACTGATGGACAAAAAGTAGGAAATTGTCAAGACTATTACATTTTCGTGTTTGAAGAAGCAGAGCATCTTCAGCTCTCTGAAGACCCTCTTACTGCTTACGAGACTCTGAAAGACATTTGGTAGTTTCTTGAGGGCGACTCTTCGACCATCCCTGGGATCAGTGACCGCCCTGGAACGTAAAAATAAAGTTTCTTCATGAGTAAAGGGAAATCAGATGAAAGTGCCTAATCAGCCAGTGGGTTTCCATCGTTCATTGACCTTTCTATCCAATGATCATTAACCCTCCACCTTCATCCCACAATTCAGAATTCTCCCAAATTTTTTTGATCAAATTCCCGCCCCAAATGTGTTTTACCAAAAATTAAAAAGTCAATTGGCGTGACAAAATCAATTGATTCATCAATTCTCTTCAACAATAAACAATTCGATCGAATGAATAATGCCAGAGTGTCCAACAGAGTCAAGGTGTAACGAGTTGGGTGTCCCTGAATTATTTGTCAGACTTCCTCGTGTCCTCCCACCTGGCAGTAAAATCCTC